TACTGCCTTGCCCTTTCAACTGGAGATGCTGGGGGATTGACCCTGGGACCTTCCGCATGCCAAGCAGAGGCTCTGCCACTGAGCCACAGCCTCAATTACAGCATGCTGCAAAATGGTGCAGTGGTGTCTAACTCGGATCTGAAGCTTGCTGGGTGAACTTGGGGGATAAAATGGAGGCGGGGAAAAGGATGTAAGCTGCTTAGGGTCCTCACTGGAGAGAAAGGCAAGGTATAAATGGTAATGAAAATAAATTGCAAGCAAAGTGTCCTCCTATGGTAAAGGGAGCTGTTTCTGAATGGGTGTTCTCCATAGACCCAAAGGGGAAGTCTGTTGGGCTCCTGAGCTAGTTTGGTGTCGTGGTTAGGAGCGTGGACTCTAATCTGGGAGAATCAAGTAGATTCCCCGCTCCTCCACATGCAGCTGCTGGTGTGACCTTGGCTCAGTCACAAGTTCTCTCAGAGCTGTTCTTTCAGGAGCAGTCCTCAAAGAGCTCGCTCGGCCCCATCTACCTCACAGGATGCCTGTTGTGGGGAGGGAAAGGAGACTGTAAGCCGCTCTGGAACGCCTTCAGGTAGTGAAGGGCGGGGTATAAATCCAATCTCCTTCTCTTCCTCCTCTTCTTCACCCAAAGAGTGATTAACACTTGGAATCCACTGCCACAGGAAGTGGTGGCGGCTACAAGCATGGACGGCTTCAAAAGGGAATGAGATAAGCATATGGAGCAGAGGTCCATCAGTGGCTATTAGCCACAAGGTATAGATAGGGGCTCTCGGGCAAGTGATGCTCTGTCTTCTTGGTGCTTGGGGGGGGCAACAGTGGGAGGGCTTCTAATGTCCTGGCCCCTCTGATGGCACCTGGTATTTCTGGCCACTTTGTGACACAGAGTGTTGGACTGGATGGGCCTTTGGTCTGATCCAACATTGGCGTCTCTTATGTTCTTATGTTCTTCTTCTTCTTCTTCTTCTTCAACACCTTCTGTTCCAGCGAGATGAAGGGAAGCCAAGACTAGCCCTTGACTTTGGGAAGAGATGCTTTGTCAAAGAAGCAAATGAAGAGGACGAGTTGGTTTTTATACCCCACTTTTCTCCACCTTAAGAAGTCTCGAAGTAGCTTACAATCACCGTCTCTTCCTCTCCCCACAACAGGCACCTTGTGATTTAGGTGGCGCGGAGAGAGCTCTGAGAGAACTGGGGACTGGCCCAAGGTCACCCAGCAGGCTTCATGTGGAAGAGTGGGGGATCAAACCTGGTTCTCCAGACTAGAGTCCGCCATTCTTAACCACTATACCTAACGCTGGCTCTGAGTGTGAGCGGACCCATCGGTGGTGCCATGACACCGGCTGGAGATCACCAGCTACACAGTGAAGACCAACCAACCCCACATCTCCTGATTTTTCTCCGGATTCCTCTTGGATCAACCTCTCCCGTGTCCGGTTCCGCCGACCCAGTCCTCGAGAGCTCTTATTGTTGATAAAAATGAGCTTGATGCTGTGACGTCGATCAGATCCCGGGCATCAAGAGGCTTCTAAGCTTTAATGAGATTTGGCGTGGAAGGACCCGACCGTTGCCAGAAGCACAGAAGGAAAACTTCCAATGACTTCCACGAAGGAGATAATGCATCGGGTCCCAGAGGAGGAGAGAACAAGAAAGAACTGATTTACAGCTGTCTTCGCTTCTGCTCAAAGTACCCTTTTCTCTCCCTTTGCCATCTGTGTTCTATTTAGGATTTTTTTTTCCCCCGGTAGACCTAGACAGCTGAGCATTAACGGCGTAACTAAGCCAGCGGAGCTTGAGAATTAAGAGATCCTGGGAAAGGGGAGGCAAGTGGCGATGACCACTTGTCGTGGGCATGAAATGAGCGCTTCGATTCTCTCATTATAAATTTAGAAACTGGTTCGCGCTAGCTCGCCCCTTTGGGACAGCGAAGAACTGCACGGAAATCGTCTATGGAAGAAAACCAACCACAGGTGGGAGGGGATGTGATAGATACAGGCATACATATAAAGAATACACAAGAAGAGGAGATTGGATGTATACCCCGCCCTTAACTACCCAAAGGAGTCTCAGAGCGGCTTACAAACTCCTTTCCCTTCCCCTCCCCACAACAGACACCCTGTGAGGTGGGTGGGGCTGAGAGAGCTCTGACAGAAACTGCTCTTTTTCAGGAACAGCTGTGCCAGAGCTTGTGACTGACCCAAGGTCACACCAGCAGGTGCAAGTGGAGGAGTGGAGAATCAAACCCGGTTCTCCCGGATTAGAGTCCGTGCACTTAACCACTACACCAGACTGGCTCACTATAGAACGTTGGCGCACAGTGCAGGTTCTGTGCGGGAAAGCAGAAGGTGACTTGGCTGGCGGAGGGGAGCCAAGCGTGGAGACAGCAAGCGGTTTCTGCGCCGTTGGCAGGAAGAGCCGGCACTCCGAAGGCAGCTATGCTTTTGTAAGCTCTCGGCCAAGGTTAGAGATCCGTCCAATCCATCTGGAAGTGATGAGGAACTCCCTGCTCCTTGGATTCTTGACATTCCAGTATAAGGCTTAATTTCATAATTTCGCATTAAGCTCATGTTTTCTAGAGAAACTTACTTCCTTTGAGGATAAAGTTCTGCAAGCGAGATGAAAGGCTGTCTCCGTTTAAATACAAACCATCCTCTGGGACAGCTTTTTTTTTGGGGGGGGGGGGACGACTTAGCAGTTTTCCTGTCCATGAATAATATTGCGCCTGCCCAAAAGTTTTCAAAGCAAAACTAATCTGGATGGCGCACCCACCCCCACCCCCCTTGGCAGAAGGACATGAATATTGGGGCCAAAGTCACAACAAGTACGACATTAACTAAGTGTTTCAAGAAATCCAAATATGAGAAATGGTAGAAAGAGTTCCTTGTCTCACGGCAGATGAAACCTGGATAATTTTCTACAATAAACCCTTTTGATGCAACCGTGTAACCCAGAATACACGCGGGAACGATGCTTGCATGAAAAACGCTCCCAGTGTGTTTTTCCCATGGGGAGGAGCTGCGGCTCAGTGGTAGAGCATCGGCTTGGCATGTAGAGGTCCCAGGTTCAATCCCTGGCGTCTCCAGTGAAAAGCACCAAGCAGTAGGTGATGCAAAAGACCTTGGTCTGAGAACCTGGAGAGCCGCTGTTGGTCTGATTGGACAACACTGGCCTTGATGGCCCAGTGGTCCGATTCAGAAGAAGAAGAGATTGGATTTATACCCTGCCCTTCACTCGGCGTCTCAGACTGGCTTACAATCTCCTTTCCCTTTCCCTCCCCACAACAGACACCCTGTGAGATAGGTGGGGCTGAGAGAGCTCTTTCGAGAACTGCTCTTGAGAGAACAGCTCTGAGACAACTTGTGTCTGACCCAAGGTCACACCAGCAGCTGCATGTGGAGGAGTGGGGACTCAATCCCGGTTCTTCCAGATTAGAGTCCCGTGCTCCTAACCACTACACCAAACTGGCTCTCAGTATATGGGAGCTTCATATCTTCATGATACTCCACACAATAACCTTGCAAGTCAGAGAGAAGGCTTTTAAGCCCAGATTCCTCTCTTATGTAGTAGGAAACCATCAAAAGGATAGAAAGACATCCTCCCACCCCTGCATTCTGAGGTCATGTAAGTGCAAGGTACACTGTACCACAGGGGTGTCAAACATGTGGCCCGGGGGCCGGATCAGGCCCGCAATGGAACTGGCCATCTCCTGCTTCCAGTTCTGCTGCTGCTGCAGCATCATAGCTTGCTTCGCCAGACTCTCTCAATCGCTCAGCCATTTCATGTTTTAACCTGGGTCCTAGACTCAGAACTCTGAGCATGAGATTTCTGTGGTGAATGTCAATAAATCAAAAGAAGGTTTGCAGCTTACAGAGCTAACGTTTTAAGCATGTTTTTATTTTAAGCAGAAAAAAAACCCTTTGTGTCCTTTATAAAGTTTATATCTCCGCTACCTGGCATGACATTTTACGACACACGTAGCCCGGCCCAACAAGGTCTCATTTATGTCAGATCCGGCCCTCATAACAAATGAGTTCGACACCCCTGCTATACCGTGTCAGCTAATTAATATGATCACACATGATGCTGCCTTCTCCATAGTCAGACGACTGGTCTATTAAAGTCAGTGTTGCCTACTCAGACTGGCAGCGACTGTCCAGGATTTCCAGTAGAAGTCTTATCATCTCACCTACTTCCTGGTCCTCTTTAACTGGAGATGCCGGGGATTGAACCTGGGACATCTGCATGAAAAGCAGAGGCTTCCCCACTGAGCCACAGTCAGGCCTGCATCGGAAGATCCTCAGAATGGAGGTTTCCCAGCACAGAACACGCTCGAAAGGAACAGAGTTTTATTTTACGTGGTCCCGATGACCTCATCTTCAAAGGCACCGAAAGAGAAAACTGGACATATTTCACAGTCCGGTTACAAAGCAAAAGGCACACGGCAGGCAGGGTGATCCCGCTGGCGTTTTTTCCAACTTCTCTGTTAAAACGAAAATCGCCTCGGATGGCGAGTCTTGAACCAATCTTGGACACCAAGGCCTGGTTTCAATTTGCAGATAAAAAAACCGCTCGGTGGGTGGGGGGGAGAAGCCGGGGATATCCCGCAAGCTGTTTCCTTGAAACAGACAGTAGCAGGTGTAAAGAGATTCAGGCTGCTTCCCGCCGGAGGGTTGCGAAAGACCAGCCCGCTCTGTCGGATTCTGGCTGTAACCTGTGCAATGTTTTTGGTGCTAGAAACACTTAAGGAACGTTAGCTGTTTTCCGGGTTGTCTGGCCATGGTCTTGGCATTGTAGGACCTGACGTTTCACCAGTAGCTGTGACTGGCATCCTCAGAGGTATAACACAGAAAGGCGGAGTACTCTCTGTGCCAGGGTGAGAAGAAAAACGGTAGGCAGGTAATTTATATCTACTCAGGAAGGTGGGGTAAGGAAGAGTCATTGTCATGTAGGAGTTCCCCAGGCTGTGAAACATGCTAATGGGAGGAGCCTTCCTGAGGAGGTTCTTTTGCATATGGATTGGCTGTTTCCTGAGGAGGTTCTTTTGCATATGGATTGTTTCCTGATTTTCCCAGAAAATCCACAACAGCTAACGAACTCTGGCCGTGAAAGCCTTTGACAACACTTAAGGAACGGTTTGTCAACGTATCTTTGCTTGGTAAGAGCGAGCTCAACTTCTTCGCCCAAGAAATCCCTTTTCGGTTCTGTTAAGGCACATCCGATGGCAACTGGAGAATATGAAAGACACGCGGCTGCCGTCAAAATCAGCAGCCCTGCGTCTCTTCCGACCTTCAATTGTACTTCGTTGACCGTTGTTGCAGGGCAGGAAACGCATGAACACGTGAAGCTGCCTTACACTGAAGGAGACCCATGGACCATCAGTACTGTCTACCCAGTTTCTTGTCACCTGGCTCTTTTACGTGGCGATGCCGGGGATTGAACCTGGGACCTTCTGCATGCCAAGCGGATGCTCTACCACTGAGCCACGGCCTCTCCCCCAACTCTGGCACAGTGACTCCCACTCCACAGATTGGATTTCATTACAAGTCACTGGAGAGGAAGACAGAGAAGCCGGCAGTCTGGTGCCTCTTGGAATATTTAGTTCCTGCTTGGCTCTGCTGAAGAGCAAAACTGCTCTATAGTAGACAAAAGGAACAGACTGGCCGGTATGGTTTTCATGTCTAATACGAAGGCTTTCCCCAACATTTATCCAACTAATTTATCTTGACGCACCACTGGAAGCTCTTGTCTGGGCTAGTATTCCCCAAGCGTGGTTCCGTTCGGAGAGGGGGGGGATTCTTTCATTGATGAGCCCAGTCGTAAATTATTAGCACTAAACTGAGAAGACCGACCAAGAGGCCAAAAATGAGTAACAGGAAGGCCTGTAAAGGAAAAAAAAAACAGATCCAATAAACAAACAGTAAGACGCACGTGTGTACGCTTTCGCTGATTAAGCTGGCAATTGACAGAATGCTTTCGGCCTGCTCTCACGGATCCGTTCTATGTCACGGTGGGGCTTTCCCTCCTCCCAAGGAGCCCTCCCCAGACATAAGGCACTTTCTGAGTCTCCTGCATCGGAGGAAGACTTCTTGCGATGGGAGAAAGTGGCTCTGTTAGCAGAACGGATTCGCGGGATCTGGCCCTTTCAACATCTTAGGCAGAGGCAAACCCGAACAGCAGCATTTTCAAACAAGCGTCAAAACACAGGTGCTGTTTTTGAGACTATGCAGATGCAAATGAGAAAAGAGCACTGACTCCCCTAGACAAGCAGTGCTTCTGGTCTAGGAAACGGTTAGGATGAGGAATTTGCTCTCTCCTTTGTGAGCACACGTGAAGCTGCTTTATACCCTTTCTTACACGCCCAGGGAAATGCTGATCAGTACTTTGGGGTCAGGAAGTCATTTTTTTCCAGGCCAGTTTGGCTGCAGATCCTGGAGGGTTCCCCCCCCCCTCTTCTGGGCATAGAGCGGGGGTCATGGGGGGTGGGGAGGTATTTGTGAATTTCTTGCATTGTGCAGGGGGTTGGACTAGATGACCCCAGAGGTCCCTTCCAGCTCTATGATTCTATGATTATAAGGTCAGTATTGTCTACTCAGACTGGCAGCGGCTCTCCAGGGTCTCAGGCAAAGGTCTTTCACATCACCTATGACTTGAACCTTTTAGCTGGAGAGGCCAGGGATTGAACCTGGGACCTTCTGCATGCCAAGCAGATGCTCTTCCACTGTGCTATAGCCCCTCTGTAATAAATATGAACACGGGAAGCTGCCTTATACTGAGTCAGACCATTGGTCTATCAAGGTCAGTCTTTCCCATCACCTATGACCCGATCCTTTTAGCTGGAGAGGCCGGGGATTGAACCTGGGACATTCTGCATGCCAAGCAGGTGCTCTACCACTGAGCTATGGTCCCCCTCCCTAGTAAATGTGAACACAGGAAGCTGCCTTGTACTGAGTCAGACCATTGGTCTATCAAGGTCAGTCTTTCCCATCACCTATGACCTGAACCTTTTAGCTGGTGGTGCTGGGGATTGAACCTGGGACCTTCTGCATGCCAAGCAGATGCTCTTCCATTGTGCTATAGCCCCTCTGTAATAAATATGAACCCAGGAAGATGCCTTATACGGAGTCAGACCATTGGTCTATCAAGGTCAGTCTTTCCCATCACCTATGACCCGATCCTTTTAGCTGGAGAGGCCGGGGATTGAACCTGGGACCTTCTGCATGCTGAGCAGAGGATCTCCCACTGAGCCACGGCCCCTACCCCAACTCTAAGCACCGTGACACCCACTCCACAGACTGGATTTCATTACAGGTCACCGGAGAGGAAGACAGAGAAGCCGTCCGTCCGGTGCCTCTTGGAATATTTCGTCCTGCAGGCCCAGCGGATGCTCTGCCACTGAGATTATCACAGCGGAAAGCTGGGCAGATGCTTATGTCTAGCTTGTTTGTCAGAACATTGTAGAAAAAAATGGACTGCATCTGAACTTGTGCATTAAAAAGGAAGCAATCAGGTTGAAATTTAGATCCTGGGTGATAGAGATCCCACACAAGACAGGTGAATTCAGGTGGGTCTCAGTCAATGCGCCCTCGAAGCTGTGGAGTCTTGTGAGCAAAAGTTCTACTTTGTGAGCTGCTGGCATTAAAGCTGTGAGCGAGCGGTTTGGCTGCTGTATGAATTAGTTTGCCCTGGAGCCGTCCTTCCTGAGTTAAGACAAAAATGTGTGAGCCGGAGGCTAAAAAACTGTGAGCTAGCTCACACTAACTCAGCTTAGAGGGAACACTGGTCGCAGTGTTGGTCTGAAGCCACAGAACAAAGTTTGAGTCCAGTGGCACCTTTAAGACCAACAAAGTTTAATTCTGGGGATAAGCTTTTGTGTGCATGCATCTGAGGAAGTGTGTGTGCAGATGAAAGCTTATACCCACAATCAAACTTTGTTGGTCTTAAAGGTGCCACTGGACTCAAACTTTGTTCTAAGACAGGTGAATGTTGCCTTTTGGTCTTTCTTGCAATTCAAACAGTAAAAGTCCCTGCTTTGAGGGTCTCAGGTTCAGTCCCCGGCATCTTCAATTAGAAAGGTTGCAGACAGTAGAACCGGAAAAGGCTTCTACCTCAGACCTCGAACAGACGAGATGCTGGGTGTTCCATGGACTGATCAGGGCACCTGTATTTTTCATCAACCGGGCACACAGCAACTCCCCATTCTAAATTGGGGAGATGTCATGGGGGAAGCACTGCCATTCCTTCCCCTCACAGTCCTGATATGAATGGGGCTTCTAGGCACTTGGGTTTTAGAGAGCTCCAATCATGGACCTTGTCGGAGCCCTGAGAGCTTGAAGACTGTTCCCTATCTGGGTATCAGCAGCATCTGCCTATCAGACCCAGCACTGGGCCAGAGAAAACAGAGATGTTGGCTCCGTCAACGGCAACTTTGTGTGTCACATTCGCTTGCCTTACGCAACCCTCGGCCATTCTCTAGCATGGGGGATATGGAAAATGCCCAGGGTTAGCAGAAACGGGAATCTAGAGATTCACGTGCATTCTCAGAACAGGAAAATACAAGTCCGACTGATCCTTCAGAACACAGAGTTCAGAAGGAACATAATAAGGGCCCTGCTGGATCAGACCATCTAAAACAACATCGTGTCTCACACAGGCGCCAACCAGTTACCCTGGAGGGCCAACAACTGGACATCGAGTCCGAGGCCTTCATTAGAACGTAAGAAGAGCCCTGCTGGATCAGACCAGGGGTTCTTCCAGTCCAGCATCCTGCCGCACACAGTGGCCAGCCAGTTCCCCTGGAGGGCCAACAACAGGGCATAGAGGCCAAGGCCTTCATTAGAACATCAGAAGAGCCCTGCTGGATCAGACCAGTGGTCCATCTAGTCCAGCATCCTGTCTCACACAGTGGCCAACCAGTTCCTCTGCCTGGCCAACAGCAGAGCATAGAGGCTGAGGCCTTCATTAGAACATCAGAAGAGCCCTGCTGGATCAGACCAGTGGTCCATCCAGTCCAGCATCCTGCCTCACACAGTGGCCAGCCAGTTCCCCTGGAGGGCCAACAGCAGAGCATAGAGGCCGAGGCCTTCATTAGAGCATCAGAAGAGCCCTGCTGGATCAGACCAGTGGTCCATCTAGTCCAGCATCCTGTCTCACACAGTGGCCAACCAGTTCCTCTGCCTGGCCAACAGCAGAGCATAGAGGCTGAGGCCTTCATTAGAACATCAGAAGAGCCCTGCTGCGTCAGACCAGTGGCCCATTCAGTCCAGCCTCCTGTCTCCCACAGTGTCCAACCAGTTCCTCTGGAGGGCCAACAACAGGGCAGAGAGGCCGAGGCCTTCCCCTGATGTTGTCTTGTCTTCAGAGGCTTCTGAATGTGGAGGTTCTATTTAGTCATCGTGACTAGTGGCCATTGGTAGACTTTTCCTCCATGAATCTATTTAATCCTCTTTTAATGCTGTCTGTGCCTGTGAACCTTGATCATTATTATCATTATTATTATGATAATGATTATGACTGAATCGCCCACTTCCTGCAGCAGCAGGGCTCTGGGCGATGTACAGTATCCATAAAACAGAAACAAGGTAAAACCAATTAAGACATTAATAAAACATTCCCACAATCAGATGACGAATAGTCAGTCCCTATTCCAATTGGCGGCTACTTTGTGAGTTGGGGGAAGAGGGCGAGGTGAGTGTAAATAACAGAGGAGGGTGCCAGCCAAGAAGGAACTATCGCTGTCCTCAACCAAAAGTGTGGCGGAACATCACCTTGCAGGCCTTGCGGAACTGCATCAGATCCCGCAGGGCCCTGATGGTGCTTGGCCGAGTTCCACTAGGTTGGGGCCAGAACTGAAAAGGCCCTGCCCCTGGTTGGGGGCAGCCAGATGTCTTTAGGGCCGGGGACCACCATCAGGTTACTGTCTAAGGAGCGCAATGCTCTCCCAGAGACGTAACGGAGGAGACGGTCCCGTAGGTATGTCGGTCCCTGGCCACTCAAGGCCTTCTAGGTCAATACCAAAACCTTGAACTTGACTCGGTATTCCACTGGGAGCCATGCTTGACCATACGCCTCCTCAGTATCTTTCACGTCAGCACCCTAGAACACCGCAAAAGCACGCAGACTGCTCCCTTACCCCGAGTTTCTGCCGTGACACGAAATCCTCTGTGCTGAGTTTCAGATAAAACAGCCCCGGATAGACAAAGAGCAAGCAGGTCGACGTGGTTGAACCTTGGAAAAGATTGGGGACAGAAGTTCTTTTCAGATTTGCATGTGCAGGTAATAAAAATGTACGTACGCGTGCTATACTTTTACGGGGGGGGGAGAGGCCGACCCCTCGGTCTTACCGATGACTCCGAACAGATGCTTGATGTCGGGCACATACATGGCGATCAAGACGACGGCCGTGTTGAGCGCCAAAGTGATGAAAATGTGGCGGGTGACGGAGAAAGGAAGATGGGAGAAAAAGACCATCATGACTGCCTTCCTTGCCTGTGATATGCAAAGGACAGAAAAAGAAGGTCAAGCCAGCGGACGCGGCCTCTGTAACCCCATTTTGGAGTTCTGTTCGTTCCTGACCTCCAGTTGCTTGGGAAGATGGCCAGGTGCTCCCAAGAGAATGTTTTCATTCGCACTCTCCTGAGTTCTTATCTAAGAAAGCTGACCTGTTTTTCTCTGCCGCCAATGGGTACCAGGTGTCTAGGATGTAGCTATGATGATGCTACTCTCAACTTGTAGCCAGCAATCACGGTATGATGTGTTTAATTTTAGATAGGTACCTGGTCTCGGGTTTTGGTTTCTCAATGGCAGCCCCACAAGAAGAAGGAGAAGAAGGAGAAGGAGGAGGAGGAGGAGGAGATTGGATTTATACCCAGTCCTTCACGCGGAGTCTCAGAGTGGCTTACAATCACCTTTCCCTTCCTCTCCCCACAACAGACACCCTGTGAGGTAGGTGGGGCTGAGATAGCTCTGAGAGAACAGCTCTGAGAGAACTGTGACTGACCCACGGTCACCCAGCTGGCTACATGTGGAGGCGTGGGGAATCAAACCCAGTTCTCCCAGATTAGAGTCCAAGCACTTAACCACCACACCAAACCCCAGGGAGGTGCGCCTGGCCCCCTCACTTTCAGTCTAGTCTTTAGGAGGCACCCGAAGACGGTTTTAATCAGGATGGCATTCCATTACTTTACTTTTTCTACCTACCGGCAGCTTTCAATGGTGGTTTTAATTCATGGACTTTTATGCGTTTATGCATTTTTGTTTTATGTTCGGTTTACATTGTAAGCCGCCTCGAGTTCTGTGAGGCAGACAGGTGGCTAATAAAAGTTCTAGATCGATTGATCAAAAGCACCGTGGGGGAGACCGATTGTAGTTCAACACCTCTGTCCCCATAGCTGCTCCTCCAGTCAAAATCACAGCTGCCTCCTGTGGTTAGTAAAGGTAAAGGTTTCCCTCGCTCAAAAGCCAGTCGAATCCAACTCTAGGGGGCTGTGCTCATTTCCGTTTCCAAGCCGAAGAGCCAGCGCTGTCCGAAGACTTCTCCGTGGTCATGTGGCTGGCATGACTGAATGCTGAGGCGCATGGAATGCTGTTTGGTGTAGTGGTTAAGTGTGCGGAGTCTAATCTGGGAGAACCAGGTTTGATTCCCCACTCCTCCACTTGCACCTGCTGATGTGACCTTGGGTCAGTCACAAGCTCTGGCACAGCTGTCCATGAAAAAGAGCAGTTTCTGTCAGAGCTCTCTCAGCCCCACCCACCTCACAGGGTCTCT